CACTCTTTCTGAGTTGGGAGACCTTGAGGTAGAGACCCAGGAGGTGGAGAGGATTTGGGGAGGGGAGTTCTGCTTTGAAGATACTGCAGGATCTGTGGAACATCGGAGATGGGAAAGGAGGCTCGCACTTAGTGGGAGGGAAGCAGGAGCCCCAGAGCAGAGGCCGGGGGATGTGGGGGGCGGTGAGGGGAAGCTCTAACCCCGCTCCTACCTCTTCCCTGCCCCGCAGTGCCTCCCACCATCAGCGTGCCCAAGGGCAGGGCCGTGGTGACCGTGCGTGAGGGCTCGCCCGCCGAGCTGCAGTGCGAGGTGCGGGGCAAGCCGCGGCCGCCTGTGCTTTGGTCCCGTGTGGACAAGGACGCTGTGTTGCTGCCCTCGGGGCTGCCCCTCGAGACCTCGGACGGGAAGCTGCAGCTGGAGCGTGTGAGCCGCGACATGAGTGGGACCTACCGCTGCCAGACGGCTCGCTATAATGGCTTCAACGTGCGCCCCCGTGAGGCCCAGGTGCAGCTGAACGTGCAGTGTGAGTCCCACCGCCCCACCCAGACTACCGTCCAGAGCTGTCCCTCCCGGTTTACAGTCAGGCCTGACCCCTCTTCACCCCTTCACCCACCCTAGTCCAACCAAACCCCTCTGCTGATACCCCTAAACCCTCCTTGACCCCCGTGCTCTAAGACATGGAGGTCCATGACTCTTGCCGCACTTCTACTCCATCTTCATTCCCAGGGACCCAGTGAGCAAAGAAATAACTGATTTTGCCAAGTGAAACTGGGAGTTTGAAGGAGGAAGGAACTTTGAAGGGAACACACTGCTTCTGATAGTATAATGACGAGAGTTAACTTACCACGTGCCAAGCACTGAGTGTTTTAATGCCCTAACTCATCTAGCCCTCCACAGTCCTATGTATAGATTCTGTTATTCACCCATTTTTACAAATAGGGAAACCGAGTCACACAGATGTTAAGTAACTTGCCTAAGATCTCACAGCTAGTTACAGGCAGAGCTGGGGTTTGAACCTAAGCTATCTAGCTCCGGAGATCATGCTGTAAATCCCGACGTTATGCTGCTTTTCATTACACGGAGGGTGAGGGGACCATTTGAGGCATGAATAGAGGCCCAGTCTGGGAAGCTCGGCTGGAGGTTTTGGCCGGGAAGGAGTAGGTATCTGCAGGTCGGGGAGGTATGAGTGTGGCTATTTTGTACGTTGTGAGTATGTATCCGCCCTGAGACCCTTCCAGGATGCTGGGGGGTGGGGGGAGGGGTGGCGGGAGTAGGGGCGAGTACGTCGCCTCCCCATGGGGCCGCTCCTCAGACCCCACTCTGTGGGGAGAGGCCCCGCTGACCGCCGCCCCCGCCCCCAGTCCCGCCGGAGGTGGAGCCCAGCTCCCAGGACGTGCGCCAGGCACTGGGCCGGCCAGTGCTGCTGCGCTGCTCGCTGCTTCGAGGCAGCCCCCAGCGCATCTCCTCGGCTGTGTGGCGCTTCAAAGGGCAACTGCTGCCTCTGCCGCCTGCCGTCCCTGTCGCCGCCGAGGCCCCCGACCACTCTGAGCTGCGCCTCGACGCCGTCACCCGCGACAGCAGCGGCAGCTACGAGTGCAGCGTCTCCAACGACGTGGGCTCCGCTGCCTGCCTCTTCCAGGTCTCGGGTGAGTGTCCCGACTGCTCCTCCCCAGCCAACCCCGCCCACCTGGGGCCAGGCTCCGCCCCAACCCCAGCCCTGCCCAGGCTCCGCCTGGGGCCCCGCCCTTTCCGGCCTAACTGCGCCTGGTTTAGGGCCCTGCCTTTCCCGGACCCGCCCATGCTAGGTACAGATCCCGCGCAGGCCTCCTGGATATAACCGGGACGTTCTCTCGCAGCCCTGAACCCTCCACTTGCCCACTCTAGGTCTAGGCCTTCCCCTTTCGAGGCCCGCCTCGACTTGGCCTAAGCCTCGCCTGTTTTAGCTTTGCCCGGCTCCTGGCATCCGACAGGCCCGCTCCCTTCACCAGGCCTAGACTTCGCCCCTCTAGCCCCAGGAGCACCAGGTATGGGCCCTTGCCTTTAAAGGCCCATTCACACCTGGCTTACGCCCTGCCTACGTGAGGCATAGGCTCCAGCCCTTCCAGTTCTCTGCTTCCACCTGTTTGAGTAGCAGGCATCGCTTTCCCTCCAGCCCTGTCCACGTCAGGTTTAGACCGACCCGCTCAAGCCCTGGGCACCGCCGCATCTCAGCCGTCACTTCTCAAGCCCCTCCTCCTTCGGCCTTGGCCCTAGAGGCTGCAGATAGGAAATCTCTACCTGACTGCGGGCCCAATGTGAGGGGCCTGAGCTGTAGCTTAGAGGAGGGAAGAAGCGCCTCAACAGCTTCTCTGGAACTTCGTGGGTGGCGCTGGGCCAGCCAGCACACATTTCCTGAGCTGTCACTCTAGAGGTTCAGGCCCCTCGGTGCCCAGAAATCCCTTTCAGCCCCATCTCTTCATGTCATTCAGGTGGGCATTTTGGGACTGCAGATGGGCGTGGGTGGGTCAGAAAGGAGGGAAGGTCGTGGTGAGAGTGGAGGGGAAAGGCCGGACCCACTCCCTTCTCTTCCTCCCTTGGGGAGAGCTGGTACCCTGTCCTCCCAGAGGAGAGCCCCAGGTGTGCCTGTCCCCCATTTTACAGTGCCCCCGCCCTCCCAACATCCTCTGACTGACTGGGTGCCCCTTAGCTCTTGTTTGGATCTCCTCGCTCACAGTGGGGGGCTAGGGCCACAGGTCACTGGCCACCTACCCAGCCCCTCCCCACCCCACCCAGCCCTGCCAGCCAGAGGCCCCTGTGACATTTCCCACCTCCTTCCCCCTCCCCTGTTCTCCCACACTTTCCCCGTCTCCCCACCTTTTGGCCGCTCTCCATCTCTCTTCCCTTCCTTCTACCTCAAAATCCATGACCCTTCTTGGTGTCTTCTATCCAATTCCCTTCCCCTGTGTCTTCTCTAATATTCCTTCTCTGTGTCTTACCACATTTCTCTTTTCCGTCCTTTCCTTGGCCTTTGCACTCCCTTCTCACCAACACCACCTCTTGGATTCCCAATCTCCCTTTCCTCCATCTCCCACCTTCCCGCCTACCCCTCATTCTCCCCAATCTCCTCTTCTCCCACGACCTCCTCTCCTCACAATATTCCTTCTTTTTGTCCCCCCCCCCACTCTGTACCACGCATCCTCTTCTGTCGCCCTCTCCTCCACCCCCCCTCTC